CTATTTATGTTACTGTAGATAGTCTCAAAAATATCTTCACTCTGTTCACCAAATTCCATTATAATAGTTCTCAATAATTCTCTGTCTTCCACTACGTCACACATGTAAATATTTCTGAGTGAGAAAGAATTTTCTTGTTCTTCTACATTTTCTAATTCAATTTTGTTGATGTTTTTATTTTTATTCATAATTTCTATTAATTTTTGAATGATTAGATAATCATTTCCAGAATAATAAAACATTTCATAATTATCATTTATTCGACACATTTCCCTACTTACAGTACATAAATTAACGATAACGAGTTCGATAGCTATATCAATATTTTTTTTAAATTGATTTATATCATTACGAAACAATTGAATATAATAAGTAAATAAATGCGTTATCCAAAAAATGTTCAGTCTATCGTCCATATAATAATTTATCATTGTAACTAAAAATTGTTTTGTAATCGATTCATTTATAATCATTGTATTTATATCATAAAATGGTCCAGTTGGATAATGATGAAGGAGACAAAAAACATGCGTGTAATCCATAAAATTAGTTATATTTCTACAAAAAAGGTCCAAAAATATTATATCCGTTTTTTTCGATAGCACAACATTTTTTAGATTTTTATTTTCTAAAAAGAAGTTATATTTGATATCTGAAAATGACAACTCATCATAACAATCATACGAGAATCCAGTGTCTAATTTTAAAGCTGTTTCTAATGATATTTCAATTTTCTCAAAGTTATTTTTTCCGTAACATAATTTTGTCTCCACAACACATAATAAAAAAAAAAACATAGTATTTCTTTTAAAAATCATTTTTAATTGGTAATGTTTAAATTATTTACTAATTTATAAGTTTTCAAGATATTTTTTTTGAAAAACTCTTTATATATATTATAATTGTGTTTATTTAAGTATCATTTTCATTTTTAAAATTAGATCGCATAAATCATATGCTATAAATTTAATAAAATTTTGTACAAATAATTTATTTTTATAAACAATATATTAATATTCAGTAGTTACAAAAACGTTACAAAAAGACATCCCTTCATTTTTTGTATTATATTGATATATTTTACTATAATTAATCAACCAGCAAAAATGAAATAGTTTATCGTAACTAATAGCTCCTAAATGAAGACAAAAAAGTCATGAAATTTTCTATTCCTTTTATTTTAAAGGTGGCTCATTTCTAGTTAAATATCATTTTTTAAATTCATCTTTATTTAGGAGTACAAATAGGGTAACATTTTTCATGAATTATATGGAATATAATAAATATTGATCACTTGTGGCCAATTAATTAAATAAAATTAAAACTATAATAAAAATATTATTAATTTGAAAACTAAAAATATTAAACTCAAAAGCCACAAAAAATTACTGATAAGTCGCGGATACGTATTTAGGAAACAATGTTACCCTTATAAACGCTAAACACATATACTGACACCCCGATTAGGAAAAATTCCCTTATATACCCCTAGTGACCTTATCACCTTGAACATAATCACTATGTAATATTATCAAATTTAGCCAATTTACACAAGTTTAATGATGAATTTTTCAGTGAACCAAGATCTCAATTAATTAAATTGTTTTTATTTTTAAACATTTCTATTGCCTCCCTAATATTAAGTTCTTTGTAATTTATGGTTTTAATGGAGTGATTATGTATCAATAAATATTCGATCACTAGAGATTTCTCAACTTCTTGATTGTTTAATGTTTAAAACAAAACACATACGTTTAACGTTAATAATGGTAACATTGTTTCCTAAATACTTATCCGCGAATTTTCAGTAATTTTTTGTGGCATTTGAGTTTAATATTTTTAATATAGTTTTAATTTTATTAAATTATATGGAAATATAAGTTTTTATGGTCACTAAATTTTTTTATTGTATTTTTGGATAGCATCAGTAAAAATGTTCTAAATAATAAGTAGGCGAGTAGATTTGGGAAAAATTTATTAGATTTCAAAGACAAATATGTGTACTATAATTAAAACTAGGCCGTTGCCCTCAATTATTAATACAAATTTTTTTTAATTAAAAAAATTATGTACGTTTAACTTGCATAATAAAAGTGTAGATTTCGTATATTACTAAACTAAAATTTCATTAAATAAAACTTTAAATTTTTGTTGAATATTTTTTCCTTTTTGGTGTATATTAAAACACTTAAATATTTTAAATTTTTAATCGTAGCGCATAAAGTAACTTTTTAAGTGATATATGTTATAAAACCTAATAATGATGTTCTTCTTCAGTATTCAATCCTGAGATTGGTTTGTAGCAATTCTCCACTCTTCCCTGTTACTTGCTTTCCTCTTTGTCTCTTCATAAGAAGTACATCCTTGGTCCTCTATTATTTGTTGCATATATTCCATTCGTGGTCTTCCCCTAGCATTTTTTCCTTCCACGCAGCCTTCTATAATCAATCCTAGCAACCCACCATGTCTCAATAAATGTCCAATCCATTCATTTCTCCTTTTCTTGATACTGCTCCATAAAGTTCTTCTCTCGGACATTCTTTCTAATAGTTCCTCGTTTGTTACCATGCCCGAGGAAGTATAATCCTAATAATGATGTATGAGAGACGTAAATAAATAAAACAAATACGAAGTTTTCTGTTAAGCAGCTGTATAATTAAACGTATCAGGTATTAAAAAAAGTTAAATACATTATATTCGGTACTGACGTCATGTTTAAGTACAAAGTTGCTAATCGTATTAACAAAAAAATGTAGAAAAGTAACAAAACTAATAATTAAATAATAGAATTAATAATCATGAAATAAAACTAGTTCCCTGGCCACCAAATACTACGTTGACCAAAAAGGCTGACCGATGTTGAGGACACTTACAGAAGCCATTCGATATGTTTATTAAAAGGGGGTCCATGATGTTTATTATGAAGCTAACATAATAAAAACGTTTTTAAAAGATTTTTCAACGAATCTAATGACAAAGTTTTACAAAAAATGATTTGAAAATATTTACTATGCACATATTCATTTTAAACTATTTATAAAACATTAAATGACTATTTTATATCAAATATCGTACGAAAGTTTTATCAAAAAAAAAGATTGGTAATTATTATGCCACCGACTCGAAACACCTATTGGCCAAGACATCCCTTGTTTTCACTTTTTTATGAACACGACTTGTTATCTTAATTCAAAGAAAACAATTAATAACACTATTCTTCTAGTAATAAACAAACATTAATTTATTGATAATTAATAACAATCTTAATTAAAATTAATATACAAAATGTTAATATAAAATTAATATGGGTATGTTGATGAATTGTGAATTGTGATTGTTTTCTTTCATTTTGAATCATCCTACAAGTCGATACTTATCCATTTTTAATAATTCTGAAGTGCATATCTAAAAAACTATCATAATTTAGATATGAGACCGGGATGTAAACAATATTCTGTTGTCTAGAGCTTTTAAAAAAAAACTGATTATTAAACTGTTACGCATCAAGTATGTAGAAAATATTTCAAATATTACGGCAACACAAATAACTTGGATGGAAAGTATTTAAAAACTATATTATATTTATAACCTTTCAATAAGGGTTTCCAGAAATTAAAAATTAGATACATAAATACATGGAATTAGCTACTTTTACTTTTTAAATTTATTATAGAGCATCTAACGTATACATCCAACCAAACTTAATACCATCACTAGTAATGAGTAGGATTCAGATAATCAATTAATACAAACTCCCGAAAATACATCTTAGTCCTACTTTCGCAATTTCTTCTATTTTATCATCTCAACATTTAACTTTGACGCAATTTTCTGAACTACCATTCAAACGGCCTCAGAAACTAAAACTTTTTGCTTCGAAAAAAAACGAATGAGCTAACTTATATTCTAAAATTAAGGTTATTAATAAATCATTCAATAAAATGATTGTCACCGATTATCAGCAACTCACGTTAGTAGAAAACGTTGGATTTTTAGTAAAAAATTATTAACCCCGGAATTACTTCCATAAGACTATATTATAAAATATATATATAACTTATTCTTTAAAATATAAATGATTTATCAATCACGACAGATATCCAGAAATCTGATTGCAATAAATATATAACAATGACGTGCCATTTATGAACCTACCTCCATTAAAATATTAAAGTTCAAAATTTGATTATAACTAATATAAATTTATCTTTTAAACATAGCATGTAATGACAATAACAGTATATAAAAATTGCATAAATCATAAACACACATAAACAAAATTAATATTAGTAAATTTATAATTTTATTTATTTAATCGAAAATGTCATTTAATACTAAATGAATCATGTTCAGAAAAATAAAGCAATAACTAAAGTATATGAAAAAACAATTACGTAGATGATAAATATATCCAAGGTTAAAAAATAATTAAATATAAAAAAANGTTTTAAATAACGTTTTTCTGTCTCGCTTCACCTTTTGCTATCGTAGGCAATTACTTGTCTTTCCTCAAGTCTGTCATTCCGTTGAAATAGAATAGCTCCTATACCTCTTGTTTATAAAGCACCAAAAGACATGAAAAAATTTACATTACCTAATAAAACATTCAAAAGTTTAAATAAGCCGGACTACGTAATTATTTGGATGTTAAATAATGGAGTTTCAGACAAAGAAATAATTAAAAAGTGGAATGATAACTTAAAAAAGACATGTAAAANATTGGAACGATAACTTAAAAAAGACATGTAAAACATATTTTACTGAAGGAAAGACTATTGAAAAATCTTGTAATGACTATCATGGTGTAAAAATGGTAACATGGAATCATCATCTAAGTCAAATGACGAAATTAAACATTTAACTATCACTCATAAAGGTATCATTGATGAAGAACATACATATGCACAGATTAATCATGATGAAAACTCAAACAACGATTATGATAGTAAATTCAATGATATGGAACGCATAAATAAATCAGATGATGAAGTTAAAATTTTAAATATAANGAACGCAGAAATAAATCAGATGATGAAATTAAAATTATAAATATAAGCGAAAAACAAATTATAGCAGAAGAATTTATATATACACAGTTTAATCATGATGAAAACTCAAATAACGATCATGATATTAAACGCAATGATATGGAACACATAAATAAATCAGATGATGAAGTGAAACATTTAAATATAAGTAAAATACAAATCATTTTAGAAGAAATTCTATATAAACTGTCTGATTATCATAAAAACTCAATCAACGATTATGGTAGTATACACAATGATATGGAACCCATAAATAAATCATATAATGGAGTTGAACATTTAAATATAACTGATACCCAAATCATTGCAGAAGAAATCACACATACGCAGTCTGATCATCATGAAAATTCAAACAACGATTATGTTAGTAAGCGCAATGATGTAGAAAATCACAGTTATAAGTCAGATGAAGATGTTAAACATTCAAATATCATTGAAAACTCAATCAACGATAATGATGGCAAACATGATGATGTTAATATCTCATCAAGTAAATTTTTCGGAAAAGGTTATCGGTATATAGGTAAGACAAAAAGAACTATTAAAAGTAAAATTAAATCAGCATACAATGCAACGCGAGCATTTATTATTAAAAAATTTAGGTCTAAACGTGTTTTTTAGACTTAAAATTAGGTAAGTAAATATATTTTAGTTGTTTTAGTTTTAAGATTTTTAATTAAATTAGTTTTATTATTACTATTCTTTTTTCATGGATATAAAGGGAAGATAATTATGACCATTTTAAAATTTGTTCTACTCAGTTTCTATTTCTGTTTGAAAAGTATATTAATAACAATAATATTATGGACATTTAAATACATTGCCAGAGAAGATTAAAAATTATATTTTAGTGCATTATAAATATAATGGGAAATGAACAGAATTTTAAGCTTTCANTAGTGGGAAATGAACAAATTTAAGCTTTCAGGGCCTTTATTTTTTTAAACTTATTATCATTTTTTGAGAAAAGTAACTAAATTACAATGATTTTATTAAGTTTTAATGTTAATTTAAAAATTATTTATTTATTTCATCACATAATCATATTTAATTTAATGATCACTCTAATTATATGATAGAAACAGTCTCAAATATTTATCATATTCATTAACTCCAGATGAGCAAAGAATAAATTAAATAAATTTCAACATACTATAATTTTCAAAAATTAACAACCAAAGGTTATTTTAAATTCATATTGTAACTTAACAATAATGAATGAGTGAATTTTATAACATAATATACCAAAGAAAATGTGTTACTAACACATTTATCTTAACTGATAACTTTATATATAATTACATATATGTTTGCAGAGCATAATGAAATAGCTGATATTGGCATTTTGATAGGTGACTATTCGAATGCTTTAATATTGGCACATAGTACGTTCGTAATATATAGTTAAAAAACATTGTAAAGTCAATGTTTTTCATTTCGTTAACAGTGTCAAATATAAGAATTTAGGCACATGGGAAAAAATCCCATTGGATCCTTTTGAAACTAGTATGACCTGTAACGAAATAGGTGTATTGTATTTCTTTGAGGAATACATGAACTAAAAAAAAAATTATTCAACATATATGTTTTTAGAACGTGTTAAGGTAGCTGATATTGGCATTNAGGTGTTAAGGTAGCTAATATTGGCATTTTGATAGGCGACTATTTGAATGCTTTAATATTGGCACATAATACGTTTCTAATACATAGTTACAAAGCATCGTAAAGACAATGTTTTTTGTTTCGTTAACAGTGCCAAATCTAGGAATTTAGACACATTGGTAAAAATCCATTGAATCCTTCTGAACCTAGTATGACCTTTAACGAAACAAAAATATTGTATTTATTTGAGGAACACATGAACTAAAAAAATCTAAGTATTATAGTTAAATATTCACTCAATTCATTAAGTAATTAAAATTAATTTCACATCTTGATACACATCATTTGACAAGTATAAAATTAAATAAGTGAGTTCAATTAATTTAAAATACTTCATATTGTATCTACAATGACCATGTGTTGTTAATTTTCAAAAATATATTTTATTTATACTGAAATATACATTTTTAATAGAATGCATTTATAGATTATGAAAATTTTAGACAAGACTTTTATAAAATTATATATTAGTAGTCCAAAATTCTCTCGCTTTTATTTACATCAGTTACCAAGCGTAGTGCAGTGTCAATACTGGATTAATATTGGAGGTGATAGAATATTATAATATAATATTATAACATAATAACAGTACTTGGCCAGCACTGGATCAGTAATATTTATTTCAGCCATAAAATAGGAAAAAAAACAAAAATAATTGATTATATTAAATACGCTTAAAATATCATAGAATTTGTTCGAGGTAATACAATAAAATTTAAATAAGTTTTAATTTATTAAAAGTAATTTAGCTATAAGCAAATAAATAAAAATAATCTAAATAGTTTATAGATTTTATGTAAATGTCTAATCAAAGTAAAAACAGGAAATCAGTTAAGAATGAACAAGAATCCACAACAGACACGTATGTAAGTAACAAACGCTTCACGCGTTCTCTCCTATGGTGTTAGGTGTGCTTTTTAGTCGGATTACATTTTTCTCTTGTTTGGCTTCCCTTTTAATTGCAGGTGCGGTTTTTCGCCCGGTCGGGTTTTTGTCCGCATTTAAATTAATTATTTTTATAAAAAATATAAATAAAGTCTCCTAAATANTATAAATAATCTAAATAGTTTATAGATTTTATGTAAATGTCTAATCAAAGTAAAAACAGGAAATCAGTTAAGAATGAACAAGAATCCACAACAGACACGTATGTAAGTAACAAACGCTTCACGCGTTCTCTCCTATGGTGTTAGGTGTGCTTTTTTGTCGGATTACATTTTTCTCTTGTTTGGCTTCCCTTTTAATTGCAGATGCGGTTTTTCGCCCGGTCGGGTTTTTGTCCGCATTTAAATTAATTATTTTTATAAAAAATATAAATAAAGTCTCCTAAATAACTTAAAAACCTTGTCTTATTATTTATTAAATAAGTATGTCGAAACTTTAATAATTATTGCAGATTGGACTTAATAGATTATAATCTTCAACTAGTATTATTTATTTTTTAAATAAATGATTAATATTAAGATTTGATATGAAAAACAATATTTAAGAATCATTTTGATAAACTTAACTAAGAAGAATCTATTCTAATAACTAATAACTGTCCTAATAGTTATTAAATTAGGATTAAATTTAAAAGTGTCATAATAAATTAATCACTTTTTACAAAAGACTGGTGAATGTGCGAGGATCTAAAGTAATTATCAACCCTATTTATAATTACCCTGTTTATTATTAGCTGTACCTGAATTACGGTTTGCATAAAATATCACAAAATAAATACATATTAGAATAATTTAAGGTTATTTTACACACTGATCCGTTAACTATATCTCACGGAAAAGTATAAAAAAAGATGTATTATTTTCTATTTAAAAGTATCCTATAAATCTTAATTAAAAATTTAAAAAAATACACGTATTTATTTAGAAAAGCATTATTTCCGCTGTATCGATAATTTTTCAGAGGCATTGTCAGCTCTTTTGAAATAGTTTAAAAATAAGGAAATGATCTATTTAATGAACAGCCAATAACCATTTTTCTACCAGTAATTGAATAGTTATTAACACTTAAGATAAAGAATGCAAGTAAAGTAATCANTGTATCAGTAATTTAATAGTTATTAACACTTAAGATAAAGAATGCAAGTAGAGTGATAATTTGTTTATTATTATATGTAAGCATTTCTAAACATTTTTTCTCATCCAGCCAAAGTGTAAAAATGTTTATACCTATTAAAATAATTTTTCAATTTTTATTTTGGACTAATCATTTTCTTAGATAAATCGTTCTCTTATTTTTAACCCAATTAAACATTATGTTCCTGTCTAAAAAACTGAAGCTGAAACAACAATTGTAAGAGAAAAGACGAATGATTAACACTATTTTTTTCCCCCAATTAAAATGTATAGTGTACTTTTCAATTATAAAAATTATTCTTTTGAAGATATTACATTAGACGTACGATGTTTTTGTCAACCTGTATTAACTTGTACAACTAAATTTTAGTTCATTGAGCTCTATGATGTAAAATATTTTAAAATGAATATATTTTTTTATTTTTTAAGTAAAAGTTAAGATAATCAAATGCGACAACTACAAATGTTTTTAAGAGTTTTAAAACATGAAGACCGTGTTTTGAAAAGTATTTAAGCAGTAATTAATTCCTCTACCTACAGTATAATTAATATTTTTTTTTATATTAGATCGAGCTGAGAAGCTGATAATTTTACTATGATGTTTTTATTTATTTATTGTCTTTAACTACTTTTTCTCAGCTCTCACTGATTTGATGTTTTTAACGTTAGTATTAAAAAAAAAAATTTCATTAGTATTCATTTATCTTTCAAAAAGTTACATTATTTTATGTATAAATGTTAAAATAAATCGAAATTTACTGATTTATAAAAATCGTAATTTGTTGGGGGAGAATTATACCAACCATTTACCAGTTATGAGAGAATTTTTAAGTTTTGACAGTAGTATCTTCAATTAGATATTATTTAAATAATAGATTTATTATATAGTAAAACCAATAGTAATAGAAAAATATAATGAAAACTATTTTCCTTTTATTAAAATTAACAATAGTCAATACATGTTATCTTTCTTTAAGTAAAATTAAAACTATATTAAAAATATTATTAATTTAAAAAACTAAAAAATATTAAAAATGTTAAACTCAAAGCCACAAAAAAATTAATGAAAAGTCGCGAATACGTATTTCGGAAACAATGTTACCATTATCAACACTAAACACATACTGACATTAGCGTTAATTAATTATAATTATAACAGCAACTAGAATTCAAGATTTTCTATATTTTTTTTTTATCTACAAGTACATTGTATTGGCTTTAATTTGATTTAAAGAAGTAGGTTTTAAGAAAATTATCAAACAAAAAGGAAAATATTTGATATAAATATTTTGTACCCTCTCAGTGCTTTGGTTAAAGATACGATTTATAAGATGCTTGATGAATGATAAATTTAGAAAATATTGAACTAAAAGAAACCAATAAATACATAAACATCATAATTATTGTGGAAGAAATCTGCTAGTTTATTAAATTCTAATGAACTGTATTCTACAACAACTGAATATTGCTTTTGTAAATCCATGAGAATTTTTTTTAATACTATAATAAATAATAGTTTGTTAATTTTAGTAAGAATTATTTAGATGATCTTTTGTCGTTATGTAACAATAATATTAACTAATATACAAAAAAACTAAGAAAGTATTTAAATGGAACTTCAACTTTTGATATAGAATTTTGTCATTCTAAAGGCATTAATGTATGTATCAATAATAAGAAAAGCAATAAAAAGTCATTTTACTAACAAGTATGCATTTGAAGTCATTTTCATTTATCTTGAGCTTGAATTCGAATGTTTTAAGATCTTCCCGAGTATTAATTGGGAATACTTCATTGATATCAATATTATTGAAATTTGAGTTGCTTGAAAGATAAATTTTATTTTAATTTGTATGTGCCATAAGAGTTTCAATATTAGTATAAATAATTTGATGGATCAATAAAATACTATCAAACTTAATATGTGTCAAAACTGCAACAACATGTTTCTGAAAATCTAAAATTTTATGTTTAAAAATTAAAATTTTTAATATGTTCACAATAATCAGTCTAAAATTTGTTTTTTAACCTATTTTTTTGGTTGTTTAAAGTTGATGAAAAATGTTTGATAAAGTTTTGTGAAAGTTTATAGTAAAAATAATTGAATATGTTTTCAAAACTTTTTTAGCTTAATTGCAA